GAGTAGGAGCTCTAAAACCATTATAGAACCACCGAACAAGGTTTTTCACTATCAGTGGAAAGACCTAACCTTTTCAAGCTATTATAAAGCTACTAAAGCCTCTAAGTACCCCAGGCATTGCGAATGTAACATCCACATTTGTATTTTCTGACTAGTACAAATCTCAAGGATATTATATTTATAACCATTTTTGCATCATTTGTGCAAATATTGATTTTTAAAACTTCATTTTGTTCTCGACAAAGAATTCAATTGGACTTGGTTGAGATAGGTATGATTCATACATCACACTATATGAAATTTCTATGTCACTCATCCATATCGATATATGTGATTAAGTGCATTGATGTCGTGGTCGTTGGGGTTCCGTCACATTATACATCAGTGACGATTTCTGCGGTGGTCCCATTATTGATGTATGAGATGGACCAAATTATAACATTCAGATATAAAGATAAATATCATTTATATACACACCTAAAGAACAATGATATAGTTATTAAGATATATTTCCTGATTGGGAGATATATTTAAATAACATATTTCAATAATTATCATTTCGGCATATATATTTATATTTACTCTATTATATATTATTAAATTAAGAGTCTTAATTGATTAAGTGATCAAATAAAGATAAAAAAAAAAACTAATTAGATTTCTATTTAGAAATTTATTATTTAATAATTGCTTAGTTGGGTATGAGCTCAAATATGAGTAGATGTCAGGATGATTCATTTCTGATTAATGAGAACCCTAATTGACCACCACCCTATATATAAGCTATGGTCCCCAATATACCGTACGACACATATTATCTCTTCCCCACAATAATACATGAGCATTGATGAACATTAATGCAAGATGTACTATGAAATTATGTCGGTGGTTAAAGAGCTTCTACCAACATGAATGTTGCACCATAAATTTTTCATCCTTATTTTGACATGTACAATTCTTTGAGCGATTTAACTTCAAGTGAAATATATTCTTCATGATAAATTTTATGTTGCCAGTGTTGATAATGTGAAATTCTTAAAGTGGTTTAGTTAAATATATTTTGATGGTAGAGTATGATAGTTTTTGAACTACGATTGATGATGAAAACAATGTAAAAATTCTTGGAGTGATGTAGCTTCAAGTGATATGGTTTTTATGGTGGAGTATGGTAGTTCTCTTTAAACTATGACTATCGGTGAGGACAATGAAATTTGGTGTATTATTTTTAATCAAGGTGGAAATTGTTGGGGTTGGTTAAAAATATACATGTTGAAGAAATCTCACATTGTTTAATTTCTTAAAAGAAGAGGGAATCCAAGGTTATATACTAAATTCAAGTTATGTATTACAAAATGCACCATCTAAAAACACTTTAAGCTTGTATTTGAATTTTTTGTTCTTTTAGTCTTTTGTGTTATAGTGTTGTGAGATGAAATTAAATATTTATTTTTGAGAATGGCTGTGTACCGGGGGTAATGAGGATGGTTGAAGGTAAATTATGTGTTGTAATTGTTTTTGCATAGTGTTACTTTCTAGTTATCATTTGACAACGGTCGTGGTTTTTTCTACAATTTTAAAATTTTCACATTATGTTTTTGTGTTGTGATCGTGTTCTTGAATTTTGAAATTTAATATTGTATTTCATTTATTTCCTTTGCTCATCTAATCCAAATGGCTTTTTAGTAAATTAAAACCAACTTTAATTTTTTAAAATTATAGTAAACACTATTTTATTCGGTAAAAAAATGTATTTAAGTAAAATTTATTAATAATTATTTTACAACAGTTCTCAATAAAATTTAAAATATGACGCTTAAAGTTTCATAATAAAAAATATTATCACTGAATTGACATTTAATAAAAAGAATGAATAATTATTTGCACAAATGAATAAAAAATTATACTATCATGTTAAATTAATTTACTTGATAACTATGCAATAACATTCGGTTGTAGGAACGATTGTTCAAATCTATGACATCAACTAATTTTGAAAAGTTAGTTAGGTGGTTAAAGAGTTAGTTATTGAAGTTAAGAGGTGTAACAAACTTCACTTTCGTGCTTGTTTGTATAAATAGAAATCAATCATCTTTCAATATTTGTCTCATGAAAACATGCTTATGATGTTTTAGTCAAACTGCACAAGCATTTTAATTCTAAAATGAAAGCTCGAGTTCATCGAATGAGATTAGAATTGAAATTTAGCAAGAAAGGAAATCATTAAATTTCTAAGTATGTTCTTCGAGTTTGAGCAATAGTTGATCCTCTTCTAGAATGATCCTATTTATTAAAAAGATAAAATAAAGTGCAATACTTTAAGGTATATTGGAGGAATACGACTCATTCAACATGATGATCTATGGCAAGGTGCAACCAATATATATATATATATATATATATATATATATATATATATATATATATATATATATATATATATATATATATATATATATATATATATATATATATATATATATATATATATATATATATATATATATATATATATATATATATATATATATATATATATATATATATATATATATATATATATATATATATATATATATATATATATATATATATATATATATATATATATATATATATATATATATATATATATATATATATATATATATATATATATATATATATATATATATATATATATATGATGTTAAGGCTCTTTTATATGTTGAAGAAGCACAATTAAACAAGATTATCCAAGAACTTTCAACTTCTAGTGCAACTACTAATGTTGCTCACACTACAAGAAAAACAATGGAGTGTGATGGTTATTTTGGCAGGTTACGACGGTTAAAACCGCTACCAATTACATTCTACGACGGTTGTAGTACCGTCGCAGAAACGTGTGTCCCCAGGCTATTTAGCGACGGTTGAAAAAACCGTCACACACAACCGTCGTTATATTTCATGACGGGCTTGAACTGACCTAAACTGGAGATAGCGACGGTTAAAGACCGTCGTTACTAGCCTTTTGATTTTTATTTTCATTGTTGATTGTGACGGTTTAAAACTGTCGTGAACTCTATTTCTCGATTGGTTGGAACTGACATAAATTGGAAATGACAACAGTTAAATACTGTCGTGAATATCCTTTTGATTTTTGTTACCATTGTTGATTGCGACGGTTTAAAACTATCCTGAATGTGATATCTTGACGGTTCATTATTAATTTTTATATATTGTATTATATTGTTTTATAATATATTCTTTTATTTAAATTATTATCTACTGAAATAGTTATATTATTTTTTCTTTAAATTATTTATACAATAATATTTTTATTTATAGTTTTTTTTTTATTTTTTTCTATCACTTTTTAGCGTAGTAAAATTAATTCCAATACTTAATATCAAATCAACATTATAATATCGAAAAAACGTGAATTTCATAATCATGTAAAATGAAAGTTTCATAATCATGTTATGTAATACAAAAATCCGAAAACATATCAAATCATAATTTTATAACAATAAGTATCATTGTGCTAAAAATGAATAAGAAGGTTCATAATCTAGAAAATATGTCATTATGGAATTCGGTAGCTAGACTCAGATGAACGTCTACCATCAGTAGGTGATTCCAATCCCTGAAAAAAAAATTGTATTAAAATAATATTCTTTAAAATAATACTCCGAAGCTTTAACTTTAAATTCATCCAAATAATATACCTGTTTTTCACTAGAATTTTACATTTGCATTAAGACTTCAATTTCTTCTTTCATAGCATTGTCTCTTTGCTTTAAGAATGTGATTGCCTCCATCAATTCATCAATTTTTGAATTTTTTTCTTTAAGTGCAATAATTTCTTGCTGCATTTCCTTTATTTTTGAATTTTCTGCAGAAGAAGATGTCAATCTTATAGATCTATTAATATGAGATGGCGTAACTCCAAGTCCCATACTATGAACATATCCATGTTGTTCTTTTCCAAATACTTTCTGAAATGCCTCATTTTCAGACACAGAATCCTTAATTGCAGCTTGTAACTTTTCCTGCACATGAAAAAGAGTAAATTGAGCAAGCAAACTTAACTTAACTTTTTAATCTATCTAATAAAAAAATTTCTACGTCTTAAGAGGAAACAAACAATGATTATAAGCAAAAACTGATAAATTTGTATTGATGAAAAAGATGTTTAGTAATTTAAAACTTGGTTTAACTAGTTAATCTATTTGTGATGGTAAATTTCAATTCCAACAAGTTTTATTGGCTGCTCGAATTATTTAAAATTTCAATTCCAATATGCATTTGTGATGGTAAATTTCAATTTCAATAACATATTTAATTATGTAAAATTTGTATACATGTTAAACTTTCATCTTACTACTTGTATTTATTTAAAATTTGAATTCCAGTATTTGTAAAAGTTATGCTTTAGTGAAAATATATGTTACCAACTATTCTCATCTAAGACACACAAGTATGTAACTAGTAGAATTATATGTTTTCACATCATATATAAAATGTAATCTTGTCTTTTTTATATTTTATTTCTATTTGTCTGAATAATTAGTTGACTTTATAAAGAGCAAAATCTATTGTTACAAGACTAATTAATTAACTCAAATAATCACAATTCTCAATCTAATTTAATCAGTTTTCAGACACGTTCTCCCCACCTTTAAGAGATGCCAAAATGTTTGATTTTTTCTCATACCTTAAGGAGACTAACAAATATTTAAAAAGAATTAACTTGTACTTACATTATTATTGTATGCATCTTCACTGACAAAAGACCCGTCAGACTTTTTATGAGAAACTGCATACATTTCTCCTCCACTGTATGTTCGTCCATCTCTCGATTCCTACAAATAAGAAAATATATTAATTATTTTTACCATCAGTAATACATTCAACTCTATATAAATTTAGACATACCAACTCATGTTTCTTCCTTGCAAGCGACTTAGATCCGAGTGTATGTGGAGTCTTCAATTTTGCTCTATTTTAGGCATTTTTTTGAGCTATTCTCTACATAGTTAACAATTAAAAACATGCGTTATAGATAGGGATAACATACAAACCAGATAAATCTAACAAATAAAAGCACTAATATTACCTGTGTTTTTTCTTTCCGCCTATATTGAACAAAAACAACCCAATCATTTTCCAGAATGCCTCTGCATATTGGATAATTTTGAAGATTTTCCTCCAAAGTGAGATCCCATCTATAAAATTGGCGAAACAATTGATGTCGGTCATTCTTCCATTTCTTTGCAACATAAGCAAGTATGAATTCTTTGTCACGCCCATCATCAACAAGAAAGTGGAGCTAACCATAAAAGTTGGAAAAACAACAGCCGTGACCAAATCGGAAAGCACAAACTTCCTCCTTAATACAATCTCAGGATGTAATGTGGAACTACCCTGCACTCTATCCATACAAACGAAAGAGTAGCGCACACCTTGGCTGGCCAAGAAGGGAAACACTTGACAATTTATTCACAAAGATTTGCAATGTATTAACAAAGATTCACAATGTATTCACAAAGAAAACATGAAGAAAAAACTGAAAACAACGATGAAAAGAGTAGCGCACACCTTGGCAGGCCAATAGTGTTTACAAGATCGCCTAAACGCAAGTGATTAGGGTCCAGCGGCGGAGGAAAAAGGGATTAGGGGAATTCGAATTCGATAATAACAAAAATATAAACCAATTGTCAACTTATGCTTACATTAGGATTATTATCCATTTCTATAAACACTGCTTGCATCTTTCCATATATTTCAGAGTTGCTAGTTTCCTGCCTTATACTTTCCTTGGCACTTTTAACCATCATTCTTCGGATCAACTACCATTCAAAGATCAACAAATCATCATATTTAGCATAAAATTCAATCTTGATACTTACTCAACCAAATTCCAATACTCATTTAGTCACCTGTTTCTTGAGAAGAGACAGACTCTAGTGTGCATAGGGGATTGAGGCAGAACTCTATTTGAAAGAGGCAAGCCAATTAGTCCACAAAGCAATGTCTGAAATTTTAATTCAAGGAAAAGCCTTAGTTCTGTTCATATCATTAATGTGAGTATGCTTTACAGCACTCACACACCCTGCAAACCAACCGCATACTCTAGACCCCAACGGTTACAAAGTGTCAATTAAACAACGCTATTCAAGAGAGATACGTGTGTATATATATATATATATATATATATATATATATATATATATATATATATATATATATATATATATATATATATATATATATATATATATATATATATATATATATATATATATATATATATATATATATATATATATATATATATATATATATATATATATATATATATATATATATATATATATATATATATATATATATATATATATATATATATATATATATATATATATATATATATACACACCATGAATCCTAGCAACAATATGTCATAGTGATATGCAGAAGGTTTCCTGAGATTGAATTCCTTTTGTTGTGCCAATTGGGATGCAACACTGTGGTCAAAGAACTAAAGCCCTACTATCATTATGGCAGGAACAAAAGCCCTGCTTCACCGTAAAACTCTTTCGAGCTAACATCGATTGTGGATTTTTTAGGAGGTTGTTCTCCGCTTACCTTTGAATAGACCTGTAGAATGGAACAAAACAACAACGGTTGTTGAATCACAACAAAGTTTAATTCTAACATTAGAACCGAATAATAGTTATAATAATAGTTCTACCTTGACCATCATTTCGGCAAGCTGCTTAACGGTAACCTCGTTGTTTGGGTTACCTACATTGAAGATGTGACCATTGGCTCTGGCAGGGTTTTCCTGTCAACAAACATATTGCATAATGTTCAGCGGACGAACCGACAATAATAATAATAATAATAAAAGTAAGTAATAGAGGAACACAAGTTACACCATTCATTTCAAAGGCCTTTTTCATTACAAAAACATTCAAACATTCATTACAAAAGAGATCCAAATTAAAAAATTGCACAAAAATACATCGGTTGACCTACATACATCAGAAAATCTGATAAACTACACAAGGTAGCACTCAAAGATCCTAAGTGGTTAGCAACTATGAATAATGAGTATCAAGCCCTAGGGAAGAATCAAACAGGGGCTCTCACTTCCTTGCCTCCTAACAAACATGTTATTGGCTGCAAATGGGTGTTCAGGATTAAACAAAATTCTGATGGGGTGCTTCTATTGATACCATGTTAGAATTCTATATTATTACTGATTTATAGAGATAATTCTCAATTGAATTACAATATGTGTGATCTATTTATAGACTCACACAACTAGGAATCAGTCAGAAACAATTAGATAATGCAAGTATACTACAGCTAATGCACAGTAGTTGCAATAGGAATTACATTGTATGAGTTCCTTTAATATTTATCAAGTGAAATGAATTGTGTAAGTGGCATATTTCCTCTCACTCAAAGGAGTTAATTAAAATAGTTCTGGTAAAATTTAGAAAATAAATTGTTAGCTCAAATATTACTTGAAACAATGTATACATAAAGTTATAAGCTAGTGAAACATGCTCTTGACACGCCTAATGGTTAGGCATAATTTTGTCAAAGTGCATGTACAATTGAAATTAAACATTGAGTTTATGCCCATTGGGCTTCTGTTATCTGCAAATTTCTACAAGGACAATTTTGTTTATGGAAATCAGTTTATGATTTTTTGTTTACTTAATGTAGTATCATAAAATATGTCTTTGATTCTAATTATAAATCTTCTCAATATTTTTGGAATTAACTTGTCTGGTACTAATTATGGCTGTGAAGGAATACTGGAGAGTTCATGATGTCAAGATACCGAGAAGTTGCCGAAATTAAATTTATGGCTGTGAAGGAATATTTTTGGAATTAAATTGTTCTTAGATATCTAGAGCACCGGGATCGACTTGTTCGCTTAAGCAATATATGGTAGAAATAGGTGTAGAGAAATCGACCTTCATTCCTTTTAAATGAATCCCCGCATTTAATTATACATTCAATAAACTTCCTAGTTACAGGGTCATATAATACACTTAACCTCTTACAAGTACATTATATGAATAATAGGTGACAAGTTAAATCCTATTTAGCTGCATTCATCTTCTCAGAGTGTCTCCAAAATGCCTCAAGTGAATTTTACATGTGTTGATGTATATTGATCAGAAATACTATTTTAAAAATAAAGCTTCAAAACAGAAAAAACTTCCTGGCTTGTATCATGAGTTTAGAATAACTGGAAAAACAAACTTGTAGAGCCATCACCAAATGACCTGAGGTCTGCAGGTTTTACCAAAGCCCTGCACAATGGGCAGGTCCTTTCCCTCTCAAACCACTCTGATACACAGTCTTTGCAGAAAATGTGTTTATAGCGAAGTAAGATTAGGGCATGCATCTTCTCTTGACAAATGGCACAAAGATCACCGGTTGCAACAACCTGCTCTGATGTTGCATGCGCCCCATAGTGTACTTCTTTACGTGACAATGCCTTCACTGCAACAAAGAAAGATTGCACCTTGTCAACCACAGATGTGAGCTTAAATGTTAGATACAATCATGTCATTAGTGATGAAAAGAGGCTTCCATATTCTTTGTTCAGGAAGAAACGATACCAAACTGGTGTTGGCAATAAAGCTCGGTAAAGCAGGAGGAGGTATTCAACTAAAGTCAGCATTTGCCCCTGCTTACGATATTTGCGGCCTCTGCTATTCTTGTAATACATTAACAATATACACTTGAATATCATTGCTTACGATAATTTAGTTTATTGGGTTACAGGGCTCTTTCCCAAGCTGTCTGTGTGTTGCAGGCTCTTCTTTGGCTGCATTGCTTCATTCCAGATTCTTGCCTGATGTTGGCATTTTTCCTCCGCTTGTCGTCTCCGAGGCAGCATAAACATCCTTTTGCACAGAAGTAGTTATTTTCAAGATACCAACTTCCAACACCTACATAAGTTTTGGTGAAGCTAAGATTGAGGACTTGAGTTCACAGCTACCAACTCAGGCAGCAGAACAGTTCAAGGCTTCTAATTTGAGCTGTGTTGGATCGAAGCCAGAATCCTTTCGTATTGCTCCAGAAGACGAATATGTAGACGAGACTGGTGTTGATCCTAAGTATATCGAGTTGGTGGTGACTCAAGCTAGTGTGTCAAGATCAAGACCTGTTAAAGCTCTCAAAGTTGCCACTGGAGACATTGTTGCTGCCACTATGGAGCTTACTACGTAATGCTCAAAATTGGCAGTGTTTTAGATTGTGGAGCTTTACTATTTAATGCTCCAGCCTGAAAAATATACAGGGAGTTTAGGATAACCAACAAAGACGTTATTTCTTCCGCCAAAGAGGTTTCATATATTAATCGAGGTTCTTTTTCTCGAGATACTAAAATTCTATTACTACTACGAGAGTTGTTTCTTGAGATATCATTTTCATCGCAATCAAAAGAAATTGGTTGCTCTCGCATATGATTCTCAAAAGAGCAACATAGATTAAACAATGAAATGAATTAAGGAAGTTGTATGAATTTGTAAAGACTATTTTGGCTTGTGAATTACAACACTGTGATGTAGTTAGAAATCAATGATTCTCACTCTACCATTTTTCTATCTCTGCAGTAATTTGGCTACTATGAACAATTATATCTTTCTCAAAATATTCTATAGAAGATCTAGTCTAAAATAACACAATCCAATATTTCCATTTAAATTACAAGTATAGTATGAAGCCTGTTCTGAATTATAAACAAAGACTCCAAATCAAACAACAAGCACAATAGAGAAAGTAACCGCCGCAACTAAACACGATCACCAGAAACAAAACCTAGTCTGATACGAACTCAGGACAAAACCATTGAATTAACAACATACAAGGTTTCAAACCAGGATTCGATTCAAGATTTGAAAAGTAATTTAGGGTCTGAGAAGACAAACCTGTTAAGATTCGAATTGATGGTGATTGCTTTGACGGCGATTCGCAATGACGGGCGTGAGTGGCTGAGAAAAAAGTTTGTTTCCCTCTTTCTCCAAGGGCATGAACGCAGATTTATGAAAAAGAAGAGAAAAATACACATGAAAAGGAGAATGAATTTTCAGTTTTAGAGGAAAAAGATAAAATTTTAGAGGACAACGGAATACAGTTTTGTTTTAATTAATTTTTTTTAATTTTTATTTACCAAATGGATGTTGATTGAATTGTTTTGTTTATTTGATATTTTATAGTATTACGAGTTTATATAGTTTAATTTTATGTTTAATTTTTACTATAAAAATTGTTTTTAAAATTTTGAGTTTATAAAATTTTGATATATGCTTTAATTTTAATAATTCAATTTTGGATATAATATTTTGAATTTAATTTTTACTATAAAAATTGTTTTTAAAATTAAATTTTTATTTTAAGTATATATAATATTTTAATTTTTATGTATTTTAAGTTTAATTTATTACTATAATTATGTTTTATAAATTTTTTTAGTCATTTATTTATTTAATATACATAGACTAATTTTTAGTCCCCACAAATAAATAATTTTGGATCCGCCATTGGTTATAGTTTGTATTATTGAGTTTAGGATGCGGCGGTTGTTCTACCATCGTGACATAAAATTTAGGGAGGTTCTTGAGACAGTCGTGAACTTATTTGTAGGACGGTTTAATGATAACAGTCGTAATATTTAATAATCTTTTAAAAATGTAAGGACGGTAGATGTATAATGTCGTGAAATGCGTCTCTATATAATAAAACAGAAAATAATTTACTATTACTTTAGACAAAAATATTAAGCTACACTGTCATGAAAATTATAATAATTATAATAATTATTTATTAAATTAATTAATAAAATTGAAAAGGTTAGAAAATAAAAATGAAGAAAAAAGTGGAAAATTAAAGGAATAAAAAAAAATAGTGATTATGGTTGACTAAAGTAATTGCGACAGTTCGCCTTAACTGTCGCGAGTGCGGAAAGAGGGCGGTTCTTTGGTAACTGTCGCATTATTTTATACAACATGCCTAAATAATTTGTGACGGTTGGCTCAAACCGTCGTGAGAACTGTCGTAGTCCAGGAATAAGGACGGTTTTTTTGATAACTGTCGCAAAAAATCTAGGACAGTTGACCCTAATTGTCGTGACAACCATCGCAATTCAGGAATAAGGACGGTTTTGTGATAACTGTCGCAACTCAAGTGTCGTAAATCTCCTTTTTTCTTGTAGTGTCATGCCATAACAAGATCAAACTCTAACAGAAATGGTGGTTCATCTGGTTCTTACCACTACTCACATGGTAAGGCATGCTTAGTTTGTGGAGATGCATGGAAGACAAATGTATATCACAAGTAATCAATCAACTTTCAACTTTGCAACAAGTATGATCATTCAGTTGTAGGTTGTTGGCATATACATGATGAGTACTTTGAACTTGCACAATTGAAGTCGTAAGCACATTTCTCTGCATTAAATAGTTTAATTAGTGCTCAAGAAGCTCAAGAACATTAATCTTCCACATCTGCCTAAGTAATTATTGTGTTAGCTCATCGAGACAATCTTTAAGCCCTTCAAGGTCTTGAGTCTCAAACCTAGTTTGCATCAGGGAAGATAAAACCAATACTCTTGAAGTTGCCTAGACCAACACCTGGATGACCCCCGTAATATGCTACAATCAAATGAAATGCCGCTAGACAAGTTATATGCGAAGAAAATCTGCAAAAATGTAAAAAAAAAATAAAAAAAAGTATACCATAATGTTAGGGAAGTTATTCAAAATGGGAATGGCCTGCCTTATGCAAAGATGTCTAGGAGAACAAGAAATCACCCTCCTCCTTACAAATGTGCACAAGGGCCTTATGGAGGTCATATTGGCGGATGAGCCATGGCCATCAAAATGTCAAGGGGGGCTATTATTGCCTCTCTTTAATGAAGGATAGGAAATGATACAAATGCTAAAAGCACACAAATATACATCATGCACTATCTGAACTCCTCCATTATGTCACATCTCCTCGGCCATCTTACAAATGGGGCGTGGACATTTTGGGCCCTTTCCCACTAGCTCCTGACAAGATAAATTTTTTGATCGCTAGAGTAGAATATTTAACACAATAGATAGAAGTTAAACTCGTCTCCTAGATTACAACAAAAAATGTTTGTTATTTTTATTGGAAGGGAGTCATGTGGAGGTTTAGTTTTCCATGAGTTATCATTTTAGACAATGGTACTCAATTATCTAGCTCTACCGTGGTCAATTTCTTTTGCGACCTGGGAGTGCAAATAAAATTTATTTCCATTGTCTACCCACATAAAAACGGGAAGGACGAGTCATCAAACAAAGTTATATACAGGAGGGAAATAAGAAGTTAGATGAGGCCAAAGGACTTTGGGATGAAAAACTTCACGTAGTGCTGTGGTAATATCATACCACCCCCCACTCAACAACCAAAAAGAATGCATTCACAATGGTATTCGCCACGGGAGCCATGCTGCCCATTGAAATTGACACACCCATTTGGAGGTACTCTTAGTTGAATGCATAGAAGAACGAGGCATAGCTGAGATGCGTAGCCGACCTAATTGAAGAAATGAAAAATGTCGTTCATGTTGGAGTAAGTCGTAATAGATAATCAATATTGGTTGTATTTACTTTTGTATCATGACCTTGATATACATATTTTTTTAATATATGTATATACTTATTGAGTATTTTTTATTGTGTTATTTGTATATGAAAAATTAATGTTCTTAGAATAATTAGTATGTTTAATGATCTATTTAGTGACTTAATTGTGAGCCTTTATTAAACATAAGGACGATGTTCGTGAAGTATATGTAGTCAAGCTTTAGTGTCACGTAGGAGAACAATGATGCATAAAGACTATTATGTGAGTTCACTGATGACCGTGTCTCACAGGTTATGAATACGAGATATCATGTACTCATATGGATATTAGGATTAATATTTATAGTGGATGAACCCTCCGTGAGAATACTACATAGTATGTTATGTAAGTGTCATACATTATTCTCATAGTGATAGTTGTGTATTCCACCATTCGATCTGAAATTACTACGGGCCCTAGATGTGGAGTCGAGTAATTTATTATCAATCAAACGTTGTTCGTAATGGGATAATCATAAAGTTGGTTGATGGGTACTCTACAAATCATGTTGAGAGATATGAATGACCTACACAGGATTTGAATCTCCTACATATACAAGAGTAATATCTATGGGACCCTTGATCGAGTATGACTATAAAATACATGAGGGCAACTTAGTACTTAGATAGATTGTTGTTTCTACTTAGAAAGGGACACTATAACCCAACTAAGAAGGGTCATACTGCATATGTAAGAAACTACCTCATAAGGCATACAAGCTAGAAGAGTTGAACCTGAGATATTATCTCACAAGGCCTACTCATCAAAAGGATATAAAACTTAGTTAACCTGAGATATTACTCTAGTTAATTGTTTTTTTTGTTAAATGTTTATAGGTAAAAGCGGTTGGCTAGTCAATGTATAAATTTCTTTGAAAAAATTTAGAGTTATCATATTTACAACAGGTTATTCCATTCCTCCGCCAATATAAATGTTGGACTTACACGACAAGATACTTTCCACTTTTAAAAGACAATCTAAATATTGGACTTTCACTGGAAGACCCTTGTCGCCCTCAAAAGACTATATAAATGTTGAACTTCCACTACAAAATCCTTTTCATCCTTGAAGGGTAATACAAATTTTGGACTTCTCATGAATAACCTTTGTCTCCCTCAGAAGACAAATAAATACTAATCTTCCAAAGGAAGCTCCCTAAGAAGCTTAAAACATCAATTTAAAGTTTCATCTAAAGGACTAAACTGAAAATTTTGCTTGAGAGATTCAAATTAAAGTCCCTCCTGAGCGACTCAACTTAAAGTCTCGCCTGAGGGACTCAACTTAAAATCTCGCCTGAGGGACTCAACTTAAAGTCTCCCATGAGAAAATCCAATTGGAATTTTGTATAAGGAAAGAAGATTAAATCACTTTGTCTTTTACAAAACATTGTACTTGAGGGATTGTGTATCGAAATATATGTGAATGACCCTTAAGACACGATGTGAGAAGTTCACTAAAGGGTGTCAGTGCAACACATCGCCTCTCGCAGCTTAATGGTCACCCTTTGTTGGAACGAGTGTTCATGATTTGGTTATGGCACCCATTTTTCCTATCGCTCTTCTTCATGTGAAAAGTTATAGGTGAGTTGTTCCTGTCCATAATGGTATGAAAGAGTGAGTCAAAAGGAAGTAGTTGCATTCTCCCAAAAAATAGGGAAAGTAACTACCATATTTCCATGTTCTTGAAAGTGGGTATTATTTCCTTATAGTTTGGGATCTAAGCCCAAGGGACATTCAATTCGTTACGTAGAAGTATCACATACAAAACTTCTCACTATTTTTATGTGAGTTTGCTTTAAATTTACAAAAATTTTGAAAACCTATGACAATCCTTAACAAAAAGGGGTTATCACATATTGTACATTTAGTTAGTATAGAGTTCAAAGAAGAAATCCCTTATAGAATGATCAAAAACTAAAGTAGAATGCCGAGCCTTACCTCACACAATCGATGAATTGTTGTAGCTTGAATCACTTTTGTCAGAACTGCATATTAGTTATATTGTACCTAAACTTTTATGTGATAACCCCAGTGTAATCATGCTTTCTCATAATCCTATTATAAATTCCTAAGGAACAAAACATAGATTTTAATATTCACTTTATTTGTGAAATAGTGGTAGCAAACAAGCTGCAAATTCAGCATGTTCCAGGCTATGTGCAAATAGCATATGCTCTTACTAAACTGCTACCAACTAGTCCTTTCCATGGGTGCAAGTCTAAGTTTAAGGTTTCTTAATTTCAACCTCAATAAATTTGTGGGGGAAGTGTCAGAGATAACCATAACCAAAAGTAGTTACTTTCGAAAAGTTAGTAAGTAAAGTTAGTTAGGTGAATGGAGAGTTATTTAAAGAAGATAGGAAGTGGAAGTTATAACTTCACTTCAATGATAACTTATCTATTTTAAAGTCAACCATTTCTCAATACAAGAAGATCTTGCAATAACTTTCTCTGTTATGCCTTCCATTTCATTCAATTCTCAATTATATATAATGGTACTATTCAGATATTACAATATTTTGTTTATCTAATATTCTTTTAACATGAGAATTATAATAAAATACACAAAACAATAAAACCATCTATTCTAATATCTCAAATTATAAATACTTTATTTGTAGACACACACCAACTATTATACCATCAATAACACAAACTTACATGATTTCATAACAATTAAAAGACAAACATGGTTTAACAAGAACTTCAAGTGGAGTAGCTTTATTATTTGTTATTCCAACCTCTTCAGTCATATCAACATGGTCAGATGTTGTCGGATTGAAGATATCAAAAGAATGCAAAAAACTAGCTAAAGAGTAATGCACCATTTGAAGTCCAAAAGATATTCCAGGACACATCCTTCTACCACTTCCAAATGGTAATAACTCAAAATGTTTACCTTTAATATCAACATCTTTATGAGTAGTAAGAAACCTTTCTGGTTTGAACTCTAACGGATTTGGCCAAACGTTAGGATCTGTGTGGATCTTCCAAAGATTTGTTATTAATCGAGTTCCTTTTTTAACATGATAACCACCTACTGAACAGTCCACGGAGAACTCACGAGGCCCAGATAGAGGTGCCGCAGGATACAATCTTAAAGTTTCTTTGACTATAGCTTGAATGTATGACAACTTACTTATATCTGATTCGTTTACATATCTCCCTTTACCAATATGAGTGTCAAGTTCTTCTTTTGCTTTTTTCATTGCAAGAGGATTTTTCAATAGTAAACATAGTGCCCATATGAGTGTAATACTACTTGTGTTGGTTCCACCAGCAAACAATGTCTGCAAATTAAGTGCAAATATTTTAATATGTATGTTCATATTTTTATAAAGGTCTGTCTAAATACTTGTTTAAATAAAGCTAAGATATATATAAATAAATAAATGAATCAAACTACAATTTCATTTGCACAAATTTAGATTTCATTGAAACATTCACAAAATTCAAATCCTTACAAAAGGAGCATGGTTTTTCTTAACCTAGATATTATGTTCTATTTTTTAATAAAAAAATAGTGGTTTGGAAGAGTTTTTGCCTCAAATTTCTTATCATTTTGTATTAACTTGTCAATGTATGCCTTAAATTGTTATACTTTAATGATTGGAATAATTTTGTCTCCTATTAAGTTTCATATTATTTCAAAATCTTCCGACCCTACTCGAAACAGAAAATGATTTTCTTTATTATTTAAAGGCAAGGGTGATAAGGAAGTATTTATATCCGTCTTATACCCATTTTATTGGTAAAATATTTATTTTTATATACTTTTAATTATATATTTATTAATTTAATTGAATATTATGAATTTAGATTTTATTTTGATAAAAAAATAATTTTAGTATTATTATTATTATTAGGGAAATGCTAACGAGTGCCTTCAGGACATTGACTAAGAGATTAAAATGGTAAGTTGGGCATTATTTAATAGATTGAAAATACATTTTTTTCTTCTAAATATATGTGTATTCAATGTCCTGAAAAGAGAAATAATCAGATTTTTTAAAGAATATTTTGTGTATTAAGTGAACTAAATATAACATATTTTCCTTATTTAGAATTCTTAACTAGTGCCGTGAGGGCACTGGTTAGCATGACCCTTACTATTATTATTATTATTATTATTATTATTATTATTATTATTATTATTATTATTATATTTAGATCTGTCTTTAACAATGTTTAATGCAGATTACCATATATAATCTACAATTTATCATAATTAAATAATATTTACATAAGATTTTATAAAATCTTTATCAATATTAAAACATAGTTAAATATAGCCTTTTCTAATTATTTTGTAATAGTTTTAAACTAAGAATTTTCAAAAATTTAAGACGGGTTAATTATATTATTTTACTTATAATAAATATGATATTTTATATTTATCACTTTATATATAAGAATGGACTAATGCAAGATAAAACTAATAAATATTTAGAGTAGACAAAGATTAAACTTTTAATACCCATACACACACAAAAAATGCAGAAAGAAAAATGGCCCATAAAAAACATGCAAAAACAATAACTATATTCAAAATGGAATTTAAGATCCGTAACAGTGAAATCCACAAATTCTTAACCCTAATCCCAAATTCTTAATCTTAACCCTGATTTCAGCCATTGCAACTTAGTATTAAGAAAATTCCTCTAATTTCTTCTTTGATTCTTTCGATTCTTGTTGCATAGTTTGATCCTCAGAAGATTAGGTGGTTATCTTCGGCTTAAATTCCTAGCTTTCGAGTTTAGGGGCCTTGGTAACCGTCTGGTGTTCTATCGGATTGAGAGTGCAACTCCTGATGGCCTGGAAAAGGTTTGGTAGGTATGTTAGAAATGGAAGGAATGGTGGCATTTTAGTCTGAAAGGAGAACAATGGGAAAGGCGCTCTGGATGGGGAACTAACGTTGTCTTTCTTCGTTAACGAATTCCCAGATAAGATGAATGCTAAAGATTTGTTTGAGGTGTTCAAGGTGTATGGAGTCATATCAGAAGTTTTTATCTCTGGGAGGCGTGACAAGAGAGGTAGAAGATTCGGTTTCGCTAAGTTTAGGAAGGTTCATGATCCCAGAGTTTTAGCGTGTAATCTTGATAGTGTTGTTTTGGAAGGTAAGAAGATGCATGCTAACATACCTAGGTTTAGTTTGGAACAAAAGCTGAAGAATCCAGTTGGTGGGAAGGTGTGGAAGCATAGCAAACAAGGGCGGCCAAGATGTTTTGAGAAGTTTGTCACAGCTGCTAGATCATTTGCCAATGTGGTAAGTGGGAGTGAGCATAAGTCTGGTAGCAAGATTTGGGGAGGAGGCCCTTGCACTTGCCTCGAGGTGGATGAAGATTGGTTACAAAGGTTAAAACGTATGAGAGTGGGAGTTGCCATGGAGGATGGAAATGCTTTCAATATCCAAAAGATCATTAATGAAGAAGGCTTCTTCAACATTAAGGCCATACCTCTAGGAGCTTCTAAGTGCCTGTTGGAAGACAGTTCAGGTGGAGACATTGACGTTTTCATTAAAGAAGCTAGCGATTGGTTGGAGCTATGGATTAGCGAGATCAGGCCTTGGGATCAGAAGGTGATGGACAGAGATAGGTTTTCCTGGGTTGTGTGTTGTGGTATTCCCAGCATTGCTTGGAGTGATAGCAACTTTCGTTTGATATCTGCTAGTTTGGGAACCTTTATCAGATGAGATGAGAAGACTGAAAATAGAGAATGCTTGGATGCTGCGAGATTTCTGATTAAAACAAACTTAGGGGTTATTCATAATAAGAAGATTGTTGTTAGAGTGTTTGACGTTGCTTACCACATTTCTGTCACTGAAGAAGTTTCAGGTGGCCATCATTTTTTGTTGGATGGTGAAGAAGACGAGTTGATAGACTCAGATGAGTTTGAATATTCATGCCCATCAGAGTTTGATGGCGCGTGGGAGGAGTCTGATGAGGCTGAGAGTGGGGATTCCAGTGCATCGATTAATGAACCTGATGAGAAAGTATTAGATGCTGAAATCCTAGGATCAGACTATATCCATTCTGTAGTTGATACTGTGTCTGTAGTTGGTAACAACCTTGGTATGAGTGATGCAGGTGTAGGTATTATAGGGAGTACTATTGGGAACTCTGCTGACTTTTTAGTTTCAGCTGGTCACAATCCTGCTAATGTTTCGGTTGACATTGAACAGAACCAGATCCAGGTGGCAAACAATAACTTAAACTTAATAGGGGATCTAGTTGTGGATCTGGGGCTGTCTATTCCTCTTATTAGGCCTCCAGAAGGGACTTTTGGGCCTGCACTAGTAGGAAAATCCAAAAAGAAAAAGATGCTTCATGAGATTTACAATTGCATCAAGATTCCTTACACCCCATCTTATTTCTCTAATCTCCTGCTCACTGCTTCAAAAGGTTACGCAGGATCTTCGAAGGGGTTTTCTGATAGGGAGGGAAGGAATAAGATCACGCGGATTAGTAAATCCCTTTAGTCTTGCTCTGAACTCCTGTGTGGTGAATCTATAACTGGTACGGATGTGGAAAGAGGAAATTTGCGATGTAAAAGGGCCATTGACGAAGTACCAATCAAACTGAGAAATTACCTGATGGATTTAGGGATTCAGGGTGATGTAGATAATGGGCTTGGAAATACTCTGAGGAAAATGGACAGGGAGGACAAGGCTGTTAGATTAGGCAAGAAGGTCGTAGCTACCAGTGGATTATGAATATCGTTTCTTATAATGTGTGAGGATGTTGCAGTTCGTTGAAGAGAAGGAGAATTTCTCAAACTCTGCAGAGAGGCAACGCTGACATTTGCCTTATTCCGGAATCAAAAATTACGCATATGGAGGACGGTATATCACATAGTGTTTGGAGAAATACAGATATGGACTGGTCAACCCTTAATTCCTGTGGAAGAACTAAAACCTAGTTGTGGTTAACGTTTATGCACCTTGCGGTTCAGCTGACAGAAGAAATTTGTGGAGGGATGTCGCTAAAATTAAAAGTAAAATATCAGGTGCCGGCTAGATTGTGGGGGGAGATTTTAACAAGGTCAAGATCGGGGAGGAAAGAAAAGGTATAAGTGCTAATAGTATCAGGGATATGAAGGTTTTCAGCGAGTTTATTGTTGAGCTAAAGTTAACGGACCTTCCGGTGTTTGGTAATAACTTTACATGGTTCAATTCCAGTGGCAAGTGTAGAAGTAGACTGGACAGATTTTTGGTGGATGATCTTTCAATTTCCATGCTTTCTCTGATTAATCAATTGGTGGGCGATAGAGACGTTTCAGACCATAGGTCTGTGTGGTTGAAGTCTAACTTTGTGAATTGGGGGCCAAAACCGTTTAGGTCCTTCAACTGTTGGTTTTCTCATAAGGACTTCATCCCGTTTGTTAAGCAGTCGTGGAGTTCTTACCATGTTTCAAGTTCTTACTGCAACATTCTGATTAAGAAGTTCTCTGCTTTGAAAAGTGACATTCGGAGCTGGAACCGTAATGTTTTCGGTTGGCTAGACTTAAAGATAGAAGAGTGTGTTTCTAATCTCAATATGGTAGAGCTGGACAGCATCTTGGATTCTTCTTCCCATGATAAAGATCTGAACAAGGAAAGATTGAGAAATCAGGAGGAGGTGTGGAAGAATCTCAGGTTAAAAGAAAGCATGTTGACTCAAAAATCCCGTTTAAATTGGCTTCAAGATGGGGATCAGAATTCAAAGTTTTTCCATGATTCCTTAAAATCTAGATATCGTTCGAACAGTTTATCCGCAGTCAGAGTGGCAGATGGGATTGAGGAAGACCCTGAAGCCATTAAATGCAAAGCTGTGAAGTACTTTAAGGAGAGATACAAGACCAAATCATCGCCCAAGTTTACAATCGACTTCGATCATATTGTTAGCTTCGAGGAGGAAGACAGGTTATGGCTGGAAGCTGATTTTTGCCCTGCAGAAGTCAAAGCTGTTGTTTTCAGCTGTGATGGTAATAAGTGCCCCGGTGCCGATGGGTTCAAATTTAAATTCCTTAAGTCCTGTTGGGAGATAGTGGGCAAGGATTTCTCGAATTGCATTTTGGAATTCTTCAAAACTGGTTACCTTCCGAAGACCTTCGCTTCTTCCTTCATCTCGCTTGTCCCGAAGTCTAAAAATCCCTAACATTTCGAAGATTATAGGCCTATTAGCCTTGTCAGCTGTGTTCTGAAGGTTATATCAAAGTTGCTCGCATGCAGACTTAGGAAGGTTATTCATAAAATTATTTCTCCCTCTCAAACCGCTTTCATTCCAGAGCGGCAGATTTACGACGGTGTTCTGTTGGCTAACGAGTTGGCTGATTTTGCTAAGAGATTCATTAAGGACTGCTTTTTCTTCAAAGTAAATTTTGCTAAAGCCTATGATTGTGTGGATTGGCTCTATCATGATGCTCTGCTTGTAAACATGGGGTTTGGAACTAAGTGGATGAAATGGATTTGTGGCTCTGTTTTCAATAGCTTTGTTTCCATTCTCATCAATGGTAGTCCCTCGAAGGACTTTAGGGTTGGTAGGGGGCTGAAGCAGGGCGACCCCTTTGCTCCGTTCCTGTTCGCTATAGCTGTAGAGGGGCTGTCGAGCCTGGTGAAATCAGCGGTTGCCGGTAATATGCTATCCCAATTCAAGATTGACGGTCAACCAACAGTGAGTATTCTCCAATTCACTGATGATACTCTGCTCATTGGAGACGGTTCAGCGTCAAATGTTTGGACTTTCAAGGCTATTCTTCGGGCTTTCGAGTTAACTTCAGGTCTCAAAACTAATTACTGTAAAAGTTGATTGTATGGGATTCATGTAGAACTTGCTTTTCTTGTGGCTGCTGAAGACTTTCTTCACTGTAAATCGGGAAATTTGCCTTTTAGTTTCCTTGGTATCACTGTTGGAGGCAACCATCATTGCTACTCTTTCTGGAAGCCGGTTCTGATGAGTTTGAGGAATAAATTATCCAACTAGAATGGGAGAAACTTGTCTATGGGGGGCAGAGTTACCCTCATTAATTCGGTTCTTGCTAATCTGCCTATCCATTATCTGGCTTTCTTCAAGGCTCCCCATAAAGTCGTGAAGGATATTATTGCGATCCAATGTCGGTTCTTATGGGCTGGGAACTTGAGCAAATCTTTTATCCCTTGGATTTCTTGGAATTCTGTCTGTAAATCTAAGGAAGATGGCGGTCTGGGGATTAAGCATGTGGGTCGGTTCAACAGTGCTTTGTTGGCAAAATGGCTTTGGAGGTTCCAAACTGGCGGCAATGAAATATGGAGGAAAACCTTTACTAACAGATACGACAACCTCAGTATTAAGACGTAAACTTACCCCAACGTTGTTAGTTCGAAATCGGATTCGCTGTGGATGAAAGATATTATGACCAATGCGTCACTAAATTCTCATGCCAACTTCTGCAATTTCACGGCCTGTTTCGTTGGTGAAGGTAACGATGCAGCGTTTTTGCAGTCAGTTTGGATTGGTGACCTGCCGTTTAAAGTCATATTTAACGGCTTGTTTCAGTGTTGCTCTATGAAGACAGTGTCCTTCCGTGATATGGGATACTGGGAGGAAGGGCAGTGGAATTGGAAACTGAGAGATTCGTTGATCGATTCAGACATCCCTCCTGAACCAGACTGGTCTGATTGCTGTAAATTGCTGGAAAATGTCTCAGTTATCCCCGGCGAGTCCGACAAATGGCGGTGGCTTCTTCATGATTCTTTATCTTTCAAGGTTAGTTCTTTTCATTCAGTTCTGTATTCCTCCTTATCTGAACAAGATATTGGTTCAGATTATGCATCCCATCTTGAGTCTCTCTGGAAGACGGTTATTCCGGCGAAAGTGCAAACTCTCAGTTGGAGATTGGCGTTTGATAGATTGCCTACGAGATCTAATTTATTGAAAAGAAGGATGTTTGATTCCGAGCAAGACTTGGTTTGCGTTTTTTGTTCTAGTAGCCTCGAGGACGTATCCCACCTCTTCTTCTCGTGCATTAAATCAACTCAGGTTTGGAACAAGATTTGCGAATGGGCGGATATAGACATAATTTCTGAAAATTGTTGTTATTCTCACGCGAAGGTGTGAAACTCGATCCTTAGTGGTCGGTGTCAAGCGAATAGAGTATATTCGATTTGGTTTATTACTTGCTGGAGTATTTGGAGGTCTAAAAATGAATGCATTTTCAATAATGTAGTTATTGAGGTCGACGGTATTGTTTTCGACATTAAACTTTATTCTTGAAATTGGTTGATCCTAGGTAGGAAGGGGAGCAAGAAGTGTTGTTTGTATGATTGATTCAAATTTCCTTTTAACTTTTTATAATTTGTCTTTTGATTTGAGATTTTCTTAATCTCCTATTAATAGATTCTGCTTATAAAAGAAAAAGAAAAAAAAAAGAATGGCCCATATGTCACTCCTTACCTGTCTAATAGCAAATATTATTTCAATTTTAAATAATTTGATATTTGATCAAAATTTTGAAATAAATGCATCAATTATTTGAAAAGATTAGAATACATACCAACATGGCGGCTTTGATTATTGTATCACTATCAAACCCTTCCATTGTTTTTCCATCAAGCAATGAAAGCAACACATCCATGATGTCTTTATCTTCACCATCAACCTTTTCACCCAAACTCCTTTCATGGCGACGCTCTTTCAACCACTCAACTAAAACCTCATCCAATTCCTTCGAAGTTTCATTCATGGCCTTCACATGACCACCAAAATCAAACAATTTCAAACAAGGAATAACATCTCCCACCGTAATCACCCCAAACAAATGCATCATCTTCTTCAAAGCTTTCACAGTTTTTTGAGCTTCTTCTTCATCAACATTAGTTCTTGCACCAAAATACCTCTTCCCAACAACCATTCGAAGAACCATGTTGAATGTTAAGTGTGTAAACCATTGCTTCATATCCACCAACACATAGTTTGATGAATCCGAATCACTCCTTTTACTAGACCAAACATCGAAGAGCTCTTTAATCGATGTTCGTACTTCGGAAACACGAATATGTTGTTGTTGCTCGACTCGACGATTTGTGAGAACCTCTAGAGTTACAATCTTGCGAAGATTGCGCCAATAAGGACCATAGGGTGCATTTCCAAACATGGCTCCTTTATAGGCCATATGTTGTGTTGCAACAATCCTGGGACGAGATGCAAGAGCCATGTCGTTCGTAGTGAAACATTCCTTTGCCATTTCCCAATTGTTGACAATTAAAGCATGTTTAGAACCAAGTTTGATGGTGAATATTGGTCCATATTTATCAGCTAAGGCACCTAAGACTCTATGAAGTGATTGTGTGCCATTAAAAATTGGGAGATGACCAAGTATTGGCCATGCACCTTTGGCTATTGGTGCCTCTCTTTTTTTGCTACGACCAAGTAGACTCAGACCTAATGAAATTAGAGAAATTAGAAATGCAATTATTATGCTGCTTAGAGCTAAATCCATTAAAGCTAGATAAGATTTGGTTGATGAATGGATGTGGATTTAGTAATATTGTTACTCTTGAATGCTAGCTTTATATAGGAAAAGTTCTATTGAGAGCAAGAAAAAATGAAGAGACGTGTGAAGTGTTTGTGAAGACATGCATGTGTACAAAAACTAAAATTAAGAGGAAATTAAATGAGAAAATCAAATCATAATATTTTGATATTGTGACTAATATTATTTTTGGAAGAGACTTGTGTAATATTAATTATCTGGAAAAATATTTCATCTTCAGATTCAGATATTACGTTGAACTAGTCCACCGCCAGAGTAGGCTACTGTTTCTTTTCCACATATTCTCACTGACAGAGGTGACGAAAATGACATAAAATTGTTGGGTCAATATTTTGATCTAATCTCCAATTTTTCGTTTGTGCTGAGTTATCACCGTGCTATCAAAATCTCCAATCTATGTTTCTGATTTATTTTTAAAAAAAGTATAAAAAAAACAAAAAAACAACTGAGTAGTGTTAAATAAAGATTTACCTAAAAAAGTTTATATTATCGAAACTTTAACTTTAAAATAGAATGCAAATATAAGAGTTAAATAAAGATTATCCGTAATAAAGACTGTAAAGGATTATATGAAAAAATATGCACGTTATCCAGATATAATTACTTGTCACTAAGACAACCACACATAAAATTGTACCTAACATTAAAATAATCACGCATAAATATGTAAATATGTCGTGCCATACATGATGCAAAATAAAATATGATCCGTCCCCTTAGACAACCACAAATTCAAATTCATCTTTATTATATCTTCTCTAATTTAGAGAGTATATAGTTCTTCCACTTATTTTAAGATTTTATGCACTAACGAGATTGATTTAAAAAATTAACTTTCTATTTAATCATTTAGAGAAATTGTAACACATGTACATGATTATATTATATTATATTATAAATTAATTAGCAATTTCTAACTTGAATTCATTAAATCAAGTCTAATTTATAGTTAAATGAGGAAAATCTTTTACCTTTATATGTTTCTTTTTGTAATAACAATATTTTTTTAGAGACTTTACGATCTGATTTGACGGGCAATGATGTGTGTAGGATCATAAGTGCATAGAAATGTTAAATAATATGATAAGATCAAAATCTGCAAGGAAATATGTATGAGTATTGAATTTTATCCTAACAGTATTTAGCTAAAGTGACCAGAATTTTAGTTGGTTCAGTGCAAATTGAAATACGATTTAACAGTAGGATACGAGGTTGTGATCATCTATCAAGACTTTTCCTATTGATTATACGAATTCGAACACGAAAATATTTGTTGCTGTGAGAATAGGATATCAAATTATTAATTAATTTGAATCGCATCTTTAGTTCACAACCGGTCTTTAATTTATCCGAAGGAAAGGTCAAAGAAAGGAAAAACCTAATTTTGCATCGTAAACCAATGCGGGAAGAGATCTAGGTAAGGGGTTGGTTAAGTCTAGGGAAGGTATTAGTACCCTAAACTTCTGTAGTACTCTACAGGAACCTCTTGTTTAAAGTTTACTATTTTGCTTGATTATTTGCTTGAGGGTATATACTAAGGGTTAGAAAGTGAAAGAAAGACCTAAGAGTTAGTCATAAGTTTACTCGCCAAGATTCGCATCTTGTGCCTACGTATCCGAGGTAGGGGATGGAATCAGAGTAATCGTAGTTCCCCTCGAAAGGGAGGTTAGGAACTTCTTGACAGTGATCATGGTTTCAATGGGGGAATAAGCGTTCTTAAGGAAGCGCTTACGTGGAGTGCGGCGACTCCAATCTCTAAGTTGTAAAGAGTTGAATTAAAAAGGGTAAAATTAGGTATTACACGGCGGGAAACCTAAAACGGAGTGCAGCGACTCCTTGACCTAATGTTAGGGTAAAGGGTGATTTAACCCACGGCGGGACGCCTAAGCGATTAAGGTTTGAAAAATTCAAGGGTGAGGACTATTACCACGGAGGTCAAACGGTTAGACCTAATCCTTCGGAAGGAATTTAACGGTAAATAAAATAATGAAAATACGATTAAGCGGCAGTATGAAAATACGGGAAATGTACGAAAACGGTAAAGGAATTGCACAGCGACGATATCCTCGCATAAATTACAACCATAAAACGAAATATGAAAAATGAAGTATTATAACAGTACAACTGAGAAAGCAATCAATGGACCGACATAAAAATTTTACGAGAATAATCGGCAAGGTTCAATGTGAAATTGAAAGTGCAACGTTATACGATTTTAGGAAAGGGATTTAAAACTAAATGAGGAATTTACAAAAAAAGACTTTGAATTTAAAATGTTAATTTTTAATTTTGCCTAATTTTAATGGATTAATAAAAATCTTATTTTTTTCAAAAATTTTTTTTTTTTTCAATTGAGGAATGTTGAATTTTAAAGAAATGTTCTAATTAACTTTTAAAAAAGGTTTTTAGTTAACTTTAAGAAAAATGTTTTAAAAAAAGGGTTTTAATTTTAACAAAGGGTTTTGATTTTTTTTAAAACAAATACTTTCATCTTCAAAAAACGAGTTTTACTTTAAGAAAGGTTTTAATTTAAAAAAAAAAGGTTTTAACTTAAGAAAGATTTTAATTTAACCTAATTAAACTAAATTGTAAAATAAAAATAATAAAAAAGGTTTTATCCACCTAATTTAAACCAAAATATAAAGTTACAATAGAAATGAATGAATGATTTTAATGAATCTAATTTTCTTAAACTATAAAAATATAAAATAATACTAATAATAATAATAAAACAATGAAATAAAGAAAAAGAAAAAAAGAATATAAAGCCATTGAAATGAGGGGGCAATGCAACTTCTCCATTGTTGTTGTTTTGAAGCTTTTCGTTCATTACTCCCACCATTCTTGCTCTACCCGGTAAAAACCATAATTAAATAAAAATTATTGAAATAATTTATTTAAGATGTTACAATCCTCATCTCTAAAGTTTTGGCAATAAAATAATCTTCCTTACAAAATTACAAATTCCATTAAAAAGTCAATTTCATTTGCGCGAGCACATGCAAGACCATATTACGTCATATCACAATCAATTCACATATTCAAATTCCTCGTACCTAATATGTTATTTGTAAGGGGTCAATCTTTCATCGTCCATATCATATCAAACAAAACATACAATACAATATTATATAACAAATCATACAAAACATAACAGCCTAAGCGAAATCATATTCACAAAAATTCTTATTTCACAAATTCTTATGCCACTTAGATAAATCCCGTCACTTAAGCAAATTATATAACCATATAGTATCGCATCATCAAACACATGATCTTAAAATTTATTTTACATATTCATCCATATTCAGTTGTAATCAATTCACATCACAACCACACATAGTAATAATAATACTCACAAACAAAACAAGGATTTATCCACATCACATAATCATATCCAAAAATACAATATATAAAACTAGTATTTATATACTTTTTACCAGGATTAAAATTTATCGACTAAAAATATATTTCGATTCTCTGTTTTCTTACAAATAATTATGAAAGTTATTCTATAATACCTAACTATTAGTTTCGTTATAATCAAAATGGGAAAGTGCCCTTACCTTAGAAGTTTTTCTTCTCAGCTGCATTTTAGATCACCTCGAAGAAGTTTCTATCTTTATCATACTTTCACATATTAATTCGAGTCCATGTGCAAAAAATTTGCTCTGTTAACTCCACATCTTCCAATCGTTTTATTTTTTTTTATAATTTATTACACTACTAAAAAAATAAGATATTAAAATACCAATTTCAAATTTAGGTAAAAGAAACTTACTGCAAAACAGAAAATAAATTTGAGGAGCATATTGGTTATGTTTACCCGGTCATTTTGATGTTGGTTTTGCGCAAATCAAAATTACAATGATGAAGATACGAATAAAATAACAGTGTTAATTAATCAATCGACAACACGACATTTTTAACTATATAAAACAATGGATAACAAAATAATATCAATATTAAAACTTAAGTAATTAATTAGTAGAAATAAAATTTTAAAAATTAAAATGAAATGGAGAACATTTTTTCGACAACTCATTTGCTTTCAAAATCGAAATTTCCATTTCTTTGCACTCTCGTCAAAGAGAATCATCCTATGAACCATTATTGTTGTGGAAGTTACTCTAGCAAAGATCAAAGATAAGTTTAATTTCTTTTTTTTTTCTTTTATTCCTCTAAGAATAAAAATGTTCAATTAATTGTATACCCATGATTACTTTTTCTCATCTTCTTTATTTCAATACATAGTCGAATCAATATAAATATATACTCATTTATTTATTTTCTCATTCATAATTAAAATATTATTTATTTAAAATACTTATTAATATGCTTTTATATTTATAGATTTATTAAAATAATAAAATAAGAAATATACTAATTAATTTTAGTTATTAAATATAATAAATAAATTTATAAAATTAGAAAATTATAGGTAGTATAAAAGTAAAGAATTTAAATTTAATATTATTAATTCACAAATAATTATTTATAAAATAAATCATTAAACTAGAAAAATAAAAACAAGTAACTAGAAAAGGCCGATAAAAAAAATTAAGATATAACTATACACATAAAAATAATTATTCACTTAAATTAAAATTTAGAAAAATAAATGTATAGCATATAAAATATTGGTCAAAGAAAAATTTGACCTCAAATAATCATATATTAAAATATTAAGTAATAAGGCCAAGGTATTAAACAATCAACCAACAAGAAAATTGCACACAACATATAAATAGATGCATTCACAGAATTTTTTTTATAGATAAACTAGGTATTGTTTACTATTTACCAATTAAACAAAAGATTCAGAAAAATGACGAAACTAGCTAACATTCAACAGACAGTCGCCAATGCAAATGGCGACTTAGTTAAATCACAATTATGGCATTGTAAGTATTCGCCAATTGAAATGGCGATAGTGAAGAAGGAAA